CCACACACGGGGAGGCAGCAGTTTGCTCACTCGGAGAAAAGGATCTCTAACCAAGCAAGCCGCTGCCTCATGCACCTGCCTCATAGCGCATACCCCCCCCCAACATCTCCTTGCCTCCCTCGCTGCATGCCCTGCCCCTGCCACAGCATGTGCACCCGCACATACCAACCCCGCCCCTGCTCCGGCCCATGCGCCCTGCTGGCACCACCTTTCTGGCCCGCACCCAGCACCGGCAGCTTTCAACTGGCCCCCTGGTAGAAATGTTTGAGGACCCCTGCCTTAGATATTTGGTGGAACAGTTTAGAGGCACCAATATAATCAATTACACATTTTAAAATATGGTCTGGTTTTTCTTAGGTACTTAAACATGTTGATTTTACTAGCTTTTTTTAAAACAAGTCTCATTAACTTTTCTGCTTTCCCCTTCAGTTTGCCATTCTCTTACTTGAATTATGTGTTGTGCAGATAACTTCATGTAGTGTTCCCATTCTGTAGTTGTGCTATATTCCTTTTTGGATTGTGTTGATCATTTTGCAACTTTGAGGGCTGATGGGTATATGGTTCTTTCTTTAGATGAGGTTTAGCCCTTGTGACCTTGTTTACGTACCAATTCTAAAATTTCCTGCAAGCTAAAACTGTGTGATTTCCTTGAAGTGGGAGTTAATAAACTCCTCTGCATTTTTCAAAGTAGTGTTCATAAGACATGGAATGGGCATGTGATACTAGAACACTTCTCCCTTAAAAACAACAACAACAACAACAACATTAAAAGGGTCAAGTTGTAAGACAGCTTTTCACACATTGTGGCTTAATTTGGCACTGAACTTGTATTTTGATATTTTATGTAAATGCCTTTGGGAAAGTGGAAGAGAGCATAACTATTAAGACACTTTTAAACTTCAGAGACTTTGTGTGGACACTTCATCACAGTTGCACCACTGCAAACAGTGGGAATATGTTACCGTTAAGAAAATTACCTGGAACTGAGATAATTGTCTGGCTTTATGCCATTACATATTTATATAAACATATTTATTTTGATATTGATCTTAATTGCAGGGGATTGCACAAATGAAAATATGTGCAATATAAATACTTTACAGCCTATGTACATAGCAACAGGAAGCACAAATGTATTTTTATCCACACAGCTGTTCATTGCAATTTACAATGTGGGTTCGAGGCTGTTTCTTAGTGCTTGAAACTTCATACATGCACCATCCCTCACACTAGCAATTCCTTTGCCTTTAATTTCTCCCATTGTCCAGCAATATTACTTTGGCAACTTGCTTGAAAACAGGCAAAATATCCCATGAAGTAAATTAGAAATAGTTTTTCAATGAAACAAGGATTCATATATGAGTGTGATAACAACACAAATCACAGTTGACTGGTATTACGTTACATCCTAGAATGCAAGTACAGTGAAGTCTAGTTAGACTTTAGATCTGCATTTAGCAGCTATACTTTGTTTATGTTTACTGTACAGTAAGTTTTGGGGGCCTGATGCAGGTCAGTCTTTCTGCATCCACGTTTTTTTTGAGTAGGCACAGAAAGTCTAGTTGACAGATACCGATTAGAATTGATTAGTCATACAAAATAGGTGTCTTCTGTGGCAGCACCTCAGCTCTGGAATATCTTCTCCAAAGATGTATAATTGGAATCAACAGTATAAACTGTGCTGCACCAAATAAAGACTTTTTCCGTTTACCCAAGTATTTTACAAAGCTATTTTGTCTTGTAGTTTGCATAACAGTTTGATGCTTCTGGGCCAGTAATTAAAGGATCATATTGTATTTTGTATAAACACCTTTGATACCAGTTGTGTGCTGCCTTTCAGTACTAAAAAGGTTGCACTTCACTAGTACAGTACAAGTACCTAAAAGTCCTTGTGTGTTTAGGTGTAAGCCAGGTAATCATAGCAAAGTGAGATAGTGTAAACATGCAGTTTTGGAGAAAGCATCATTTACAGTTACATGTGTGGGTGACAGACATGGTACTTTAGAGCGGAGACAGGCAAACAGAAGGAATGAATGGACAAGTTATTGTTGTAGTTGCCAGGATTGTCCAGATGCTACTTTGAAGGGCAGCTTATGTTGTTTACCATGTTCATTTGTGCTGTTTTTTTATTTAGTTTTATTCAAACAGGAAGATTCACAATTTTCAGTGAGAGCACCCAAATATGCACTTCCCCCATAGAGTAAAGGATAAAAACATGCCTTGTTTTTAGTATGAATGCAAGTTTGGGCATTTGATAGCATATTTGGAGTGCATGCACTCCTGCTTATTTTCATGGTTGGGACTACAAAAATAAAGGAAATTGTTGTACATACTTATTTAGAGCTGTTGTTGCCTGTGATAGTCACATTATTTTTTAAATTCCCAGTCAGTCCCTGGTTATACAAATTTGTAGATTTTCATACAGATTCAACTAGCTGTACCTTGTACAGGAATAAGAAAGCAAGTTCTCACACAAAGGATTTGCTTGGCAGACCACAGGGCAAAATTAAAGCTTGTGGGATCTGCTTTGTTAATTTTTAGAAAGATGAGATCTTTAGAAAGCAGAGTTAGGTATAAAATAGTGTCTTAGGAGGATGGTTGTACACTAAGAATTAAGGGCCAGGGTGCCTCTGAACACATCGCTCTCAGCTCAGGAATTGGTGATCAGTACCAGAACCAACCTCACTAATCCTTTCACAACAATATTAACTCCTGGTCTCATCTTCCCTGCCATACACAAGTGCTCTTTTTCAGCCATTCCAATGGGGATGGGGAAATGTTTTTAAGTTGTAGCTATTGTTAAGCAAAATAAACTCCTTGCCAATTTACTGAAAATCTCCCAGAGATCTTCCACTAGATCCTGATTTACCTTTTGGAGGCCCCTGCTATAGACATCTGTGCAATTTGGACCTGCTTTGAGATTCCCTTACAAAGCTCAATAGAATTAGTTTAAAAAATAAACCCCAAAGCCACAGAATTAATTATGTTGCACATCATATTAACACATTGGTTTTTCACTGGAAATGAAGATACTCCACTTCCACAGGCCAAGGTAATTAGCGTTCTGAGCTGCTGAATTAGTGCTACTTTCAGCCAGTCTTGTGATGTTTGATCTTTTGCACTAAACAATGGAGAGACTACTTAAGCCCATTTTAACCATGACCTTTTCCCTGACCTAAATTGTAAGACTTTGGGTTTCTAACCCAATAAATGGCAAGGTCAGTATTTCACTTTGAGGAATTAAGAATGACTAAATCTTTAAAATATGTTTATAGTAAATAAAGGACAGTATTTTGGCAACATTTTTTCTTTAATTGTTGAAAATCCATTCTTTAGAACCCGTTACTTTAATTTTAATCCATTGATTGGCACAGTCCTATCTGATTTTACTTAAAAGGGATTGTCCTAAAAAGGCTGCCCTTTTTATTAATTTCTTTGATGGTTAAAGCTTTTGGTATTTCACTTTGCTTCTTCAAAATTCATACAAACTCCATAGATAAATAACCTTTCAAAAGTAAAAGGAAACTCATAAAATGTTAGTGATCATTATTAGTGCATTTGTGGTATATGGCATTTTCCTTGTGTGTTTATAAGCCTGCCATGTAGGTATGCATTTTCAGTAATTTAGGGAACAATCCTACTATGCACACTATGTAGATTCTGGCTGGGAAATCCTAGGACTTGCAGGATACTTTTCCACCTAAACTTCAATCCTTTAATCCAGTCACTTACCTTGGAGTGGGCTCCATTGCACTCAATGGGACATACTCCTGGGTAGACTTGTACAGAATTGTGTTGCTGTTAATGGTACACATTCATGTCTGCTTTTTCTGTCGGTGGCATTTATAAGTGCAATACTTTACATTTGCTCATTTATTTGTTTAGAGAATGTACTCTGCTTTTTAGAGTTGCTGCTGTCTGGGAAATATTTGCTCAAATGTACATTATGTTTATATTAAAAAGAGCTGAAGAATCAAGAGTAGGTGTTCTCTGCTTGCTGACAAAGAAATAAAATAGGCCTTTCTTCCTCAGTCAAGCTGTTGCCAATGCCTTATATGGATTCCAAAAGGTAAAAGAATTATGCAAAAGTTTGCAAATGTGTTCAGTGTGCATATTATATCCAGACAGTCGTTTGGTTTTCCTCAGAAATCAGTAAGAAAATGGCAAGAGCAGTGCTGGCAATGGAAGGAAAAATGAAAATATTTTGGAAGATCAGATATGACATAGGATTGATTGGGTCATGTCACCCTTCTGAACGAAGTGAATCCTCATGATGCCTGGCAGTATCTTTGAAGAAATATGAACAGGCCTGTTCGACTGTCCATCTAGTCCAGAATGCTTTTTCCTATGTGTGTCAATAACATGTTTCTCTGGAACCCACGAAGAGGACATGCTGAAGGCAAATGCACTCGCCTCTTGCTGTTTTCCAGAAATGGTACATAGAGGCACAGTGTTTCTAGATCATAATTTGCCTTGCAGTTTTCATGACTTGGAAACTTTGATAACTTTATCTTCCTTGAATTTGTCTAATCCACTTTTAAAGGCTCAGAAGGAGGTAGAGAGTATGTGTAAAACTTCTCTCTTTCTTTCTCCGTGCATAATTGTATAAACCTCTGTTACCTTTTCTCTAAACTTTTAAAAGATCCCAATTATTGTAGCTTTTCCTGATGGGAAAGCATATATAGTCTTCTAAGACATTTTGGTTGCCCTTTCCTTTACCTTTTCAGTGAAGTGCAGAATTATTATTGGCACGACAGTCTGTGGCCATGTTTAAAAAAATAGTTATTAAAAATTGCCTTGAGATGCTGAAGAATCCAAATGTTATGCCATTTGACAATTCTTGCACTATATCATTAAGAATATGCATGAACAAGTAATTGGTCCTTACTTGTTTTTCCAGATGCTGAATTCTTTCCCTCATATAAAAAGCCCGTGATCACTATCTAGTGAACCAGAAGAGCATTTTTGTTTTCTTTCCATATTTCTATGTTCTTTTCTAGAACCTGCTTTCTACTTTGGTGACACTGAATATTATGTCTCTGAGAGTGCTGGTTTTGTGGAAGTTCGTGTCTGGAGAACTGGAACAGACTTATCCAAGGCAGCCACTGTCACTGTGCGTTCCAGGAAAACAGAACCAATTTCTGCAGAAGGTGATATTTTTATGTAGTTTTACTAATGCACCTGCACACTTACCTCTACTCTCACATAGTCTGCAGGTGCCAGTTTCAGTCCTGAAACAATGGGGGTCATAAAGCCTGCAGATAAGTAGAAAAATAACACAAGAACAAAACCCATTTTATCTTGAGTTTATGAACATATCCCACAAATAAGTGACTATTCCTTCCTTTTTATGTAGCTGGAGTTGATTATGTTGGCATCAGCCAAAACTTGGATTTTGCTCCTGGTGTAAATATGCAGACCTTCCGTGTGACCATTCTGGATGATCTGGGACAGCCTGTTCTTGAGGGACCAGAAAAGTTTGAACTTGTTCTTCGAATGCCTATGAATGCAGTGCTTGGGGAACCAAGCAAAACTACCATCTTTATCAATGATACCATCACGGACTGTAAGTATTGTAGGCTCTCATTTCTATAAACTGAATGTTTATCAGAGTACAGGATATTTTCTGGTTAAACTATTCCATCTTAAGCATTGAAGAACACAACTGTCTTAAAACTGGGCAACTGGAGAATGCAAAATGTACCTTGTGGAAAGTGCTGGAATCATCTGGTACAAAGGTCTGTGGCCTCTCTTTGAATGTTTGTGAAGGTTTCTTTCTCTCCCTGCACAATCCCACTTTGTCTTCAAAGCCATCTTGGAGGGTATGTTTGACAGTTTCGTATGTATAAGGACAGTCATGCTGAGTTTCAGGGTAGAGTAGGTGATTATCTTTGGTGCCCTTTCTAAGAAGCTGAAGACCTTTAACATTTAAAATAATTTTCTGATTCTTGATTTGGGGTCTTTTTTGTAAACCTTGAGAAGTGTCATCACTGGAAAAAGGCATGCTTTCTGATTAGATTCACGACCTTTTTTAAATCGGCCTTTCATCAACAAGCCAAAAGTATGGTTGGAAATTACTGTTGCGATATTGCCAGATATCTTAAGGCTTTGATTAGGTAATGTTTGAAGAGGATGAATTCTTCCCTTGAATTAAAGTTGAATCATGCGGTCACCAAAATTCCATGTTAAAAGACTAACTTGTTTTTGTTTTGTTTTGGCAGTACCAAAAGTGCAATTTAAGGAATCACTATACACAGTGAATGAAAAAGATGGGCAACTGACAGCTGTGATTTACCGTAGTGGTGATATAAACCATAAATCTACAGTCCGCTGCTACACTCGCCAGGGCTCTGCCCAGGTTATGATGGACTATGAGGAGAGACCAAACACAGATGATTCTGTAGTAGTATTCCTCCCAGGTAAGAGTTCATCCTTAACATCTTGAAGCTAGAAAAACCTCACAAATGCATTGGGCTCTTTTTAGACCCCAACCTGAATTCTAGTCTGTCTACCAAAATGGAGTGTGTTTAACATTTCAAATCACCAACATCTGGAAAATGCACAACACATAAAATGAAATGTTTGAATAACACTTCCCCCATATTTGCATACTGAGTAACCAACAGTATCTCTGAGTCTTTTAGGATATGTACTTTGTTTAAAAATGTCATTAGAAACAATGAAAACAAATGTTTGAACCAAAGAGACAGAACAATAATAAAATTTATTTTGGGAGTCAATTTTCTACTTGATATACAAAGCTGTCTTTGGTGAAAGGAACACATATGACTGATATTCCATCTTATCAGCATAATAATAGATTTCAGGTTTCAGCTAGTGAAGTTAAGTAAGATGGACTCTTTCCATCATCAGTTCCCATCAGCATGACAATGGATTTCACATTTTAAGAAGCTTTCAAGTTCTCATTTTGTGAGTGAGGAAGAGGTTTGGTGGTTTTTCCTGATATTCAAAACATGTCTACTAATTTCAAAAGAGTATGGAATATTTGGTGCCTTGATACAATTATCGTGTACAGTAACAAAAGCACCCCAGTAGCATAAATCAGTAGATTCCTGGGATGTCTTGTGTTCTAAGCATGTTTTGGTCAATAGAAAGAAAATTAAAAACAAAAACTGAAACTTGGGGACATGTCCTAGAACAGTGTGGTGAAACTATGGCACACGTGCCACAGCGGGCACACAGAGCTCTCTCTGTCGGCACACAATCCAAGTCGCCCCAGCACCGCCCCAGCAGCCAAGCATCAGATAACAGCACAAATAGGAGCCATGCGTATGCTCTGAAAGGAGTAGCGGCGCCAGGCAATGACATAACAAGCTGTGACTCGTCCGAGCTTTCACATGGCTGGTCAGTGCTTGGACTGGCTGCTTTTCTAAACTAAAACCTCAGTTTTCAGGTTTTATTGCAGTGTTGGCACATTGCGATAAATAAGTGGGGTTTGGGTTGCAGTTTGGGCACTCGGTCTCTAAAAGGTTCACCATCACTGCGTTAGGGTTAGAAAAACGAGGTGTCCTGGTATGATTTTGATGGCTGGAATGTGTTTAGCATGAGCAGCAATGCTGAGCTGTACAGAAAAAGCTACTCCAGGGCAGCTTTTTCAAAAGGTATTGCTACCAAAGACATTTAAGCTAGTTGTTCTGCTTTTTGGGTTTCCTGCAGGAGAAATTGAGAAGCCATGTGTGGTCATTTTGAAGGATGATGCCTCCTATGAAGAGGAAGAAGAGTTCAGATTAGTGCTTGGAACACCAAAAAGCACTTCTACATTTGGTGCCTCCATTGGGGAGCAAAAAGAAACTTTGGTGAAGATTAAAGATGAGGAAGACAGTGAGTTTAAGAGCACTTCGTACTTCTTCCATTACACATGATTCTCACATCTGGATTGTTACTTCAAATATTGTCAAAAGAGACGATACAGATTATGTACATAAAGCAGACCTATTGAAATTAGATTAAGTTCTTTAAATCTCATTCACTTTAGTGGCTCAACTCTATGCAGGACTAATATTAGATACAGCCTTATGCAGCTATGGCTGCATGAGTCATGCTTGAAGCTTTAGGGGGGTTTTCTCTCTAAACTTCATAGGAGTGCACCGTTAATAAATTTATTTCCATGTCCTGCCTCTAAGTGCAGTTTGTAAATTAATATTGTATTGGTTATTGTTTGGACACAACAAATCTCAATACTACAGTCTTGAAAGAATAGATTTGCTTTCATAGTTCTCACCACAAACTTGCCCAATCAACCCTTCCCCAAAGTAAGATGATTCCAAATTTGGAGAAAGTTTAATCTAGTCATTTAAATTAAGAAATACCACACACACACACAAAGTTGGGTGGAAGTATAACTGATCTTAAATTTATCACAGCAAGGAATCATCAGTGATAGATTCATAGAAGGTACCCAAAGGTCATCTAGCCCTGTCCCTTGTTAGGGCAGGAAATCCACTGCTAGGATTCAGGATAAGTGGCTAGTAGTTGGCTTAAAAACCTCTAACAAAAGAGAGACTACTCTCTTTTGAGGCAATCTGTCCCATGGCTAAACAGGGCATCCTCCATGGAAGTTCTTTCTAACATTTAGTCAAAATTTATTTTCTTCTTATTGGAACCTATTGTATCAAGACCGATACTCTGCGGTAAAATAAAGCAAATTTATTTCCTCATCTGCATGAAAATTCTTCAAAATTTGAAGGGGATTATTATATTGCCTTACAATCATCTATATGGTCAGTTGTTTGGCCATAGCAGTAAGCACCATTAGTTGAAAGACCTCATTACATGGAGATTTTGTACTATGGAAAAGTATGGCCAAGGTAGCTGTCCAGAAACTGGGTACCTTTAGATGATTTGGGCTGCAACTTCCCTCATCCCAATCTAGCATGGCCAATGATAAGGATTGGTGGGACTTTTAGACCAACACATGTGAAAGGCACCAGGTTGAGGAGGCTGCATCAGTGCTTTTTGGACCATGGAGTAAGAGCGTTATTTGCTTGATCAAAAGTAAGCACTATGCCTTATTAAGCCACAACAGCTTATTTAAATCATGGCATATGCTGGGTGTGTGAAGAACTTGATATCCAAAATGTCTGTCTGCATGCAGCTTGTCACGCCATCTGAACTTTGGCCAGTTGCTTTGGCCTGTGGGAAACCCAAGACCTCTACAACGGCCCATGGGTTGTTGAAACGCTGTTTCTGCTTCCAACAAGCCATGCAACTCAGGTTCGGATGACACAAAAAGCTACTTCTGAACAAAGAGTATGCATATCATACCCCACAAGCTGCTGTCGCAACCCAGTGATTTGAATAAGCTGCCATGACTTACTTTGTTCTTGAAAACCAGTTCAATGAGTTTCCTAGCACTGTAATGCTAATGATGGATATATCCAATTCATATATCACTTGTTCACGTTATTATGGTAAAGTGAAAGCCAGCTGTGATGACAATTCACAGTGGTAAGACCTAGTAGCTGCGGTGCTGCATGTGATGACAGCATGTCCTGTGCCTCCCCGTGGGGCGAAAGTCTAAACTGGAAGTTTCTGTTGGTTTTTTTCGACTATTTAATCTTGTGAATTCAGTATTTTTTTCCTTTTAAGACTTGAACAGATTAATGGATGCTCACATCTGGTATTCTCCTTGCCTTATTATTTGGAAGTACATGACAGTGCTGCATTACTGTATAATAAACAAATCCAGCAAATTAATGAAACATGTTGTTTTCCATTATTTAATGTATTTGTTGTAGTGTTCTCCCTCTGGTTATTTCAGCCATGAGAAATAAAACTTGCTCCTTAAATAGGAAAAATTGACAGTTTTCACTTCTCTTGCAGAACCAGTGATAAAGTTTTCTGAAATCAAATACAGCATCCAAGAACCTCAAGAGCCTGGTGAGATTGCAGTTGTAAAAATCCCTGTTTTACGTTTGGGGGACAGTTCCAAAGTTTCCATTGTGAGAATCCATACTAAAGATGGTTCAGCTACCTCTGGAGAAGACTATAATCCAATGTCTAATGGTAAGCTTTTGATCTGAACTGGAGAAGTTGTGAATACAGACAAGTCTGGAAGCAGCAATATTGCTGTTTCTAATGAATATTAATATAAAACCATGAATGCTGGAACATTAGTATTGCACAGATACAACTGGAACTTATATGATTTACTTTTCATTTGTGTTCCTAAGACTGGATAGATTGTTTAGCATAATACCAAATAAAAGTGCTAAGGTGTGTTTTTTCCTTGAGCATTGTTGAACTGCCTCTCAGCTATGAGAAGCCAATGTGAATTTAGTACTTTGGGGTACCATGCCAAGCTGGCTTCTCTTTGGATCCTAGCCTAATTTTGGTGATGGCTGAAAAGAGACATTCATGTTTTCTTTTTCTTTATAAATAAATCTTAATTTCAGATATTGAATTTAAAGAAGGGGAAACAAAGCACTTCATTGAGGTTGAAGTTTTGTATGATGGAGTGAGAGAAATGCGTGAAGCATTTACAGTTCATTTGAAACCTGATGAAAATATGATAGCTGAAACTCTGGTAAGAAATAAATGATTTCATGTGATATACTTTGTTTCTCTGTGGACACACTTTGCACTCAAATCATTATTATTCAGAAACATCAAGCATGGAAGGCTTGCTGTTTGCTAGATTCGTGGAATGCCATTTTTGAAGCCCAAACTAGACAGGAAACCTGTAATCAGATCTTTGGTTTGTGTTTTCAGACTAACAGTGGCTACATGGAGCCCTGGTTAGGTTTAACTCATCCAAGGTTAGCCTTAGTTTAAAGTAGATTGATTGTAATAAATGGCACAAGTTAGACTAATATTAGATGTAGCCCACATCTGGTTGTACTTTCAGTGAAAAACAACTGCTTTTACTCATATTATGCCTAAACAACGTGCTTGAATATTTTGTGGTAAGAGCATTTTCACACATGTGAACAACAATCTGAAGTCTACTGGCCATGGATTGCCTTCAGTCATGAGATTTAAAAATTATCCTGTATGATTTAGCCATCTTTATACCTTAGTGTGACTCTTTTTCAAAAAATAGCTTTCTCTGGTGGAAAGGAACCTTTGGATCCAACTCTATATGGATGTTGAGAGCCAAACCTACCATTAGAAAACGAAGAGGGTGCCTCAGGCACTTGATACAGATGCCATGAAAGGCGAGCATGTTGTTAGTTGTTATTGCTGTAATTATTTGCTGCCAGCAAGAGGAGCTTGGGGGATTTTCTGCCTCAAGGCACCTTGACCTGAGCAGCTGTGTGTGGATGGAGGGGGAGACCTGCTAATCAGCCTCAAGCAGCAAAATGCCATAACTTGTCCACAGATATAGTCTGATGTCTGAAAGAAAGGGTGAGGGACTTTTACCCGGCTGGAAGATTTTTCATCCTAATACTGTTTGTGCATTAACTGATTTAAACAATGAAGTCATAAAGGAGAACGTATGTGCAGCAGCCTTCCTCAGCCTGGTTCCTTCCTGATTACAGCACCCAACATCCTTAAGCCAGGCATGCTGGCTGGGAAATGCTGTATAGGGTATTAGTTTGCAAAAGAGTATGCCTCTATGTCCATTTTTAACTTGCAGATGGAAACTTTTCCTATCTTTCCATTCAGATGAGCAAAGCCATCGTGTACATTGAAGAAATGGACAGTGTGGCAGATGTGACTTTTCCAGCTGTGCCCCAGGTTGTATCTCTCCTGCTGTACGATGACACCACTAAAAGCAAAGTGAACCCCCAGCCTCCCACTGGCTACCCTATTGTGTGTGTAACGGTATGCTTTGTTCTTGCTTACCTTTTCCTCAGTCTGATGCTCTGCTCTTAGCTGGAAAGCTGATATTTTGGGAATGTATAAACAGTTTCTCAAGTGAACAGGAGGTTTAAGCCACAAGTTTCAATTTCATTACTTGGAATTAAGCAACCTTTTTCTTGTTAATAGGCATTCATTTGTTACATAGGGCTTGGGGTGTTGTTGCCGTTGTTTTTAGTTTTCAAAGCATTTTGCAATCTTTGTTGTTTGTGACCTCACAATAGTCCTGTAAGAGAGATTGCTTTTATTCCCATTTCATAGATTGGAAACTGAGGCAAGATAGCATGAGTTTCTGAGGATCACTCAGAGATGGGATCTGACTAAACTCTTACTGTACTGTGTTTATCTTTCTGATTCTGATTTGCTTTGTATATTCTGGTAATTCTTTGGTGAAGCCATGTTTTTGCTGTTGTTTTTCCTGCATTTTTAGCTAATATATTTTAGCTAATATTATTTGCATATGTCGTACAACTATTTTCTTTTCACCCAAGTTATAATAAACTGAATTGTAAGGTTTATATTTAGATGTCACATACATTAATATTTAATTTCCTAATTTAATTCATGGAAATAAAATAGTGTTTGCTATGATTTAACCAGTAGCTAGGAAAAATAAACTTGTTAAATGCTAATATAGCACAAGAAAAATGAACATGCTTATTCTTAGAATGTTATATTATTCATTTTACTGGAGCAGACAGATATAATTATTGTGCGTATCTATTGAACTTCAGGCGTGCAACCCCAAATATTCCGACTATGACAAGACTGGATCTATTTGTGCTGCTGAAAACATAAATGACACGTTGACCTTGTACCGTTGGCTTGTCAGTGCCCCAAGTGGCACTGACGGTGTTACCAGTCCCATGCGCGAAGTGGACTCCAACACTTTCTTCACCAGCACCAAGTCAATTGCCTTGGATTCCATCTACTTCCAGGCTGGCTCAAGGGTGCAGTGTGCTGCTCGGGCTGTCAATGCCAATGGGGATGTTGGTTTAGAATTGCTAAGTTCTATTTATACAATAAACCAGGAAGAAGGTAAGCAATAAGATAACTTCACACAGTCTTGTTGTTGTTGCTGTAGTTGTTAAACTGAGTTAACTGTTTGTTCCTAACACTTTGGTTGGATGCAAAGACTTCATCCCAGTTAGGAGTGTGGGACTGGGATTCAGGCCATCTGATTTCTAATCTCCAGTCATCCACAGACCTCACTGGGTGACTTTGGGCACCAGTGGAGACAAAAACAGTTCCAGGTAGCTGTTCTTCTTCCCTTTTCTTCTCCAGCTGCTTCCAAGTAGCCACTGGAAGCCTCACCTTTTATACCTGCTAGAACAGGATATTATTAATTATTATTAATAAAACGTCCAATAACAGAACTTCTTTGAGCAGAACAAAAGAACTAGAAGAATAAAGTACAATATAAAATGATAAAAGCAGAATGAAATAAGATTCTGAAATATAATTACCATGCTGGATTTGTGGTTTTACCTGTCAAAGACTAGGTGTGATTATAAAAGAAAAGAATCATTTCTTCCAATTGGACTTCTGCTCTTGTGTCAATAGGAACATCTATAAATCAATGAAACAAGGCCAAATGAGGGATAAATATAGCAGGTATATGACTCAGGTTGTCTCTCTGAATTTAATAATTTCAAATGAAGTTTCTGGTCTTCCTGATTAAGAAGAAATATGGCAGAATAAGAAGCAACTGTAGCGATGGACTTGGGTCTACCCAAGTGTGAAGAAAATCTTAAGTATTTGGGAACTGAAAGATGGTTCATACTGTGCTGTTTCTAGTGTGTGTTTGTGTATACAGCATAGCATACATTCACAGTCTATAAGGGAAAAAGGGTTGGAGGAGTATGGAAGTCAGTGCATTGCACTGATGGATGTTCTGTCTGTGTCGGGGAGAGGGCAGTAGCCATTACGTGACTGCTCCCCCACAGCATGTGTAGCTCTTGACATTTGAGGCAAAGGGTGTGGTATGTTGAATGGTATGTTCCATCCAGCATTACATGAACAGAGTTCCATTCTGCACATGAGACTTCCCTTTACTTTTTGCCCCTCTTATAGTCCTGTGCAACCCCCAGATCAGTTTCAGAGTTTGTGTGGGGAGCTGTAGGAGAAAGGGGGGAATAAATTCCCCCAATGGTGTCCATTGTTTGGTGGATGGACACCTTGGGAAAGTTGATGTTTTATTTAAGAACTGTGGATCAGGACTACAATGTGTGGGGAGGTGAGGGTTACTCTTTCCTTCTCCCACCACAATCCCCACAAGAATTGTGGCCACTATATACCAACTAGAGTTAAGGGGAAACTCCCATGGTATCAGTGGGGGATGTTTTAACACTAATTGGCAGCAGTTAAACTTTGAAGGGATTGCAAAAGGAGTGGAAAGGATCAGAACACAGCATCATGGTCATTGGCCTGGTCCCCCTCAAGCCATGTAGTTGATAGAATGCTGCGTGGATTTATGGGTGTCACATGGCCAGACTTGCAACAAAGCACCCTCTCAGTTCATGCAAAAGTTTCCATGAATGAAAATTAAGTAGGCGTTAAATATCAAATCATCTACCTGTTTTCAGAGAGCTCCTTTGCCTTCTGTAGTTTATGTTTCTCAAGAAGGGAGATGGAAGTTTCCTTTTTCACCATTCCTGTAGTGTTGGATGTTTGGAAGTTGGAGGGGCAATAAAGCTCTAGTTATTGCCTGAATGGGAGGAATTAGCCCTGCCGCTACTGTGGTAAGTAAACTGAGGCCATGCCCAGTAGAGTTGGCTTCCGAATGAGATTAGTCATGTATAGCATGAATCAGCCTTCCCCAGCCTGGTGCACACCAGATCCTTGGTGTGTGCTGGCCATGGTGTCTGGCTATCATGAACATTGCAGTCTCACATGCCTGAGAGTGGTGAAGGCTGTTATAAATCATGGGCTTACCAAAAGCCACCAGCATTTCATAGGATTCTTCCAAACAAATGCCTGTGAGAATGGTGCATTCTTTGCTTTAATCAGACCCTCTTTTCCACACAGGCTTGTGCCAGCCACGCATTCCAGGGACAGTAGGAGCAGAGCCTTTCTCAGCCAAATTACGTTATACAGGTCCTGATGATCCTGACTATCCCAATCTGGTCAAAGTGACAGTTAGAATGCCCCATATGGATGGTATGTACTGGGCATGTCTATTTGATTCAACAGTGAACAGCAGCAGCTGTCACCAGATCCACTCATTTCAATACAAGCAGAGTCTTCAAGTGAAGTTTTTAGCACACATTTATTCTTTTTCCCACTTTATTAACTGTAAAATGGCAGCCACCAATAGCAAAATTATTGAAATATCTCATTAAAGATAACTTCTAGTGGTGTAGAGCATGAGCCAGGAAGGCCTCCTTTCAAATTGTGCCTCGGGCACAAACTTACTCCTTTGCCTTGGCAAGGCACTGTTTTCGGCCATGCTGAACAATGTGAGTTGTTATAAGGATTCTTGGAACACTCAAAATCAGAACATGAATGCCTGGTCATGGTGGTGTTATTGCATCAAGCTGTAATGACGGTGTACTTCTCCTTCCAGGGATGCTGCCAGTTCTTTCAACCAGACCCTTGTCCAACTTTGAACTGACACTTAGTCCTGATGGTACTCGTGTAGGCAACCACAAATGCTCCAACCTCTTGGATTATAATGAGATTGAGACAAAATATGGATTCATCACTGATGACATCAAGAACCCAGAAGTGATGGGAGAAACATCACCTTACCAGTATAGCAGCCCTGTGCGGACTGCAAAGACCTTGCGTTTCTACCGTAATCTCAACCTGGAGGCCTGCCTGTGGGAATTTTACAGCTACTATGACATGTCAGAACTGCTGACGGACTGCAGCGGTTCCATTGGCACAGATGGACAGGTATGGTTCCGTAGATGACAAGCAGGCACTTATAATTGAAAATAAATTGTTCTTATTTTTTGCTTATCCATGCACACTTTAGTCTGTGGCATAGGAACATAGGAAGCTGCTTTAAACAAGGTTGAATTTCTTGTCCGTCTAACCTGATATTGGCTGTTCTTCCTTTCAGTAGCCCTCAAAGATGTCAGGCAGAGGTCTTTCATATCATCTGCTTTCTGATCCTTTTAACGAGAGAGACAACAGGACATTCAACCTTGGGCTTTCTCTGGAGAGAGCATGTGGTCCACTGCAGAGCCCTTGTCTACCCAATACCTTATATAATCGCATATAAGATGACCTTTGAAACTAAAAATAGCAAAGCAAAAATTGTGCATCAGCTTATATACCTGAGATATATAAACAGCCCCAAATACTGACCTCATCTTATATGCAAGTTGCCTTATATGCAAATATATACAGATACTTTTTGAAACATGCTTCCTGGTCACTTGTTCCACACATTATTACTGTATATATCTGTGTAGAAGATGACCCTTGCAAATGAAAAATGGAGGTAGTCTTATACACCTGTCCTATGAAAAACACCAGAAAAACAGGCCAAAATATCAACCTCATTTTATACACAAGTTGCCAGATATGCTGTTACATACGTAACTGATTTTGGATGGCAGCCTTAAGGGTATATTAACATTACCTTTCTAACACTGCTTATGGCAGGTTATAGGTTTGTTTGTTTGTTTGTTTGTTTGTTTTAGCCTCCCTTTTTTCCTTCGAAGGAACCCTAGTTGGCTTACATAATTTTCCTCCTCCTTTCGATCTTATTCTCATAACAACAACCTTGTGAAGGGCCCAAAGTCACCCAGCGCGCTGCATCGCTGAGTGGTGACTAGAAGTCAGTCCCAGTCCTTGCACTCTTAACCATTACACAACACTGATTCTACACAGAGTATTTTCTTTAGATTGTTTTCTTCCAGGACAGCATGGAAATCTGGAAACTTAGTTAATAGTGAGAAGCTTTTTGTTCCCTACAATTTCTTTTATTTTGCTTTACTTCACTTGCATTCTTGTTCATGTAACTTTATGTACTTCTAATAGTGCAATTCGGTTTTATTTGTACTGGAAAAGTTCTGAAGGCTTGGGATTACACTCCCCAGGGTTGCACTTCCTGAGAGGGAAGAAGGAAACAGAGGCACAGATGGAGAAGAAACAACAGCTTAAGAGCAGGTCAATGGGGCCTTATGAAGGAGCACTAAGGTTATTCAAGATGCACTAGAAGAATATTGTTAACAGTCTGGATTGTTGCTATGTGAATTGACCCTGTGGGGAAAGCCCTGAAAAAAGGCCTAACGTATTCCTGAGGATAAGGAAGTCTGTTCTTGAACTGTTGTATCCAGTTCTTTTGTGCCATACCCTGGTGGCACAAGCTTTCCTGCTTATTTCCCTATTAAGCCACCTGTCGCCCTTAGCCACATGTTAGTGTGAGTACTGGAACCAACCAGGGTTAATTTTATATGTTGCTACACTGTATTCAAATTGGTTTCAAAAAAGGCAACCAGACTGCCCTCCTCATGACAGCAGTATTTTTTGGTTTGCACCTATAGCAACTATATCCTCCTGTGCCAAATAGGTTTCCCTTTCTCACTTGCTCTAAGCAGAACTGCTATGAACACATGAAGCTGCATTCTACTGACCCCACATCAGTGGTTCACCCACCAAATATTGCCAACTCTGAATAACAGTACTTCTCCAAGGTATCAGACAGTGCTTTTGGCCAGCCTTCCAGTCCTTGTACCTGGAAATGCTACCAACTCTATGATTTTAATAGCCTTCTGGCATGGCACTCTCAGTGGATTGTATAACATAAAAGCAGGACTCACTAGCCAAGAACTCTCTTATGATGCATTTTGTTGCATACTCTGTGCAAATTAGAAATGACCACACTGCTATGGTGGTGGGCCCTCTGTTCCTGACAAAAGGCCAACCTTACCATCCTCTAGAGATAGGAGGAATTGAATTTCCTGCAACTTCTGCATACAAATCCTGTGTCTGCCACTTACTTATGGACCCTTTTCTGTTTTGCAAATATTTACAGATAATCAAACCCAATCTGACTGAATTTATGCTTACAGTCCTCACCTTATTCATTGAACAAGGGTGATGTGGCATGGGCAGTTGCCATGCTAACAGACCTGCTTAGCTGCAGAAATGACAATCCAGAGGAGATTGTGTTGGTCAGTTGTATATACATTAATTTGCACTAATACAGCTGCACAACCCTAGAAAGAAAACAAATGATTGCCTAATCTCATATGTTCTTAACTAGTACAAACAAGGCTAGTTTTCAGCCTAAGCTTGGCAACCATTGACTGGTAGAAGTTGTCAGCTAACTCAACAAGGCCATACTATTGCATCTTGTTAGAAAATCAACAGTTCTTTAAGTAATAGGCAGTGCAAAATTAAGATAATTGAAAGCTTACTTGTGCAGTCTTGGTGTGTGTTATCTCTCTTTCACACACACACAGAGATGTGCTTCACTCAGCTTCACTCAAGCTGTGACAGTCCTTGGTTTCTTCTCTTTTTCTACTCTGGAACGCACCAAAAAAATGCATGTATAAATGAATAAAAAAGCTCTTCAACCAGTTTCAAACCAATTTTAAACTAGCCACATTACCTCCTTTTAAATGAACTGGTTGGTTCATTTAAAATTATTGGTGAACAAGCCAGGATTGTTAACTATTATTGATCCTAGATTGTTTTGATTATTTGATCTTCTATTTGATTTGTTAGAACTAATCAGCATTTAAGACAACTGTAATTTGGACTTCATAGAAAACTCTGGTTTATTTAAAGTTGGAAGCTTGTCATCCCTTGACTACCAGACTGTCAGACATAAGTACACAGATGTTTAAAGATGAATTAAACATGTTTTCTATATTTTGTTGGCTTCAGGAAACAATGCTGTAACACCAGTTTAACATATTTACTAATGTGGAAAATATATTTATGTGTCAAAGTGTGCAGCTGCCTTCAGAGAGCGCCTTTAAATTTCTTGTTGACAATTGAATTGAAGACTAAATAATTACATTTTCATATTGTGTAGATTATATTATTGTAAGCCAGTAATTCATGATCTTGAAATTTTATTTTGTTGCTGCTTTAATTTCAACTACTTGTAAATTCAGGGTCTCTTTTCACTCTTGAGTGCTGGCTAGTGTTGGAATCTAACCAAGTCAAAAATGTGTTACTTAGTATCTGAACTTATGATTGGTCTATTCATTAATCATCATGGGATTTGTAATCAGTTCTGAAATCAATAGAAAGGGGAAATGTGGGAGCTTAAGTTTATCTCCCAGGAACTATCTGCATTATTATGCCTGGAAAGGAGCTTTTGTTGAATGAGAGCTTAGTCATTACCTATTCACTTCCAGAAAGTTGAATGGACCAGAAAGTTGAAATGCACCAGAGGTCACAGATGAATGTGAGATTGTTAGTATCAACTTAATCCCATAATAGAGATGTTGCTGTAACCCCATATTACTATATACTTTGGGATGACTGTCAAGACAGTTCTAGGGTAGTTTTTGTTTTTTGCCTGGATTATGTCTTAAAAGCCAGCAAGAGTGCCTGCCCGCCTGCCTGCCTTCTTGGGTTTGGCTTGTGTTTCATTCTTTCACACTTCAACACAAGCTGTAATTCATTCATAAAGCATCAAAGTGCATTTCTAATCATAGCTTGTAAAGTTTGTTCAGGAGCCAACACATACCCAAAAGATAAATACAGAACAGACCAGAATGTCTGTCAAATTGAGGTGGGGAAAAACCTTCTGAGGGAGTGTGGCTGAGATTTAATACTCGTCTCAGAATGGCTGTGAAATCAACTCCACAAGGTCTAGCCAGAGCATTGCTGCATATGTGGTAGACTAACCAAATGCCACGGTCTTCTGCAGGTGTTAAATCTGGTTCAGTCGTATGTGACTCTGCGAGTGCCCCTCTTTGTCTCCTATGTCTTCCATTCGCCAGCTGCTGTTGGAGGCTGGCAGCACTTTGATTTGCAGTCTGAACTGAAGCTCACCTTTGTGTACGATACGGCCATCCTCTGGAAGGATGGCATCGGAAGCCCACCAGAAGCCGAGCTCCAAGGTGAATTTGCCAGCCTTTCTGTTTTATCTTTAATTGCCCCCAAACGCGCTACATGAAGAAGCCAGAGGGGACTAAATTGACATTCCATGTCTTCATTTAAAAAGTTTTCAAGTAGGTAGTAATAAAATACAGCTAAAATAACAAAGTTATGCTTAAAACATTAACAAAGCAATGTTATTCTGCACTATGGTGGGGATTGGCTAACACCATAGACACAGCTATAATCTCAGGGAATGGAATCTGATTTGGGGTTTCCTCATCTTCTTGTAGATGCATTAGCCATCATGGGTATAAAGGATTTCCATGTTCTCATGCCACTTCTGAACCTGCCACCTCTGGAATAACTGTGGGAGAAAGCTCTGACTGTCATATTTTGTTGAGGGTTTCCAAAGCGGAATCAGATTGACAGATGGACCAAGAGATGTTTCAGTCCCAAGGTGCTGCTGTGGGCTAATGGTTGATTGGATCTCAGGGCACTTCTTGTGTTCTTAGACCAGCCTTCCCTAACCTGATGCCCCTCCAGCTGTGTTGCACTAGAACTCCCATCATTCCCAGCCAACGGTTGTTTGGATCTATGCTCTGTAGCTAAAATTCCTCCATGCCTGACAGATGATCACTCAGTGGTGCTCTATGCTTCCTCCTCAGTCCCCTTCTCCCCCTCTTCCATGCAGGGGACTCTGCAGGAGCAATGAATGTCCCCTGAGCCATGGTGAGCCACTTAGCACTGGCTGAGGCTTGGCCTTTTTTTGGGGAAGGGGAGATTACAAAAGCTGCTGCTTAAGCCAGCCACTTCAGGGAGTCAGGTACCTGCACCTGTCCCCCTTTGCACTGAGCTGTGCTGTTCAAGTATGACAGGAAAGCTTCTTGCAAAACCCCTGGAGACTGCTTTGTGGAAAGCACCAGCTTTGGACAGTGCAATCCTCCAGTTTCTTCACAGGAGCTCTGCTGTCCAGGTGCCCCCAAGAGATAGTTAATATATTAATACCCAGCCTTTTTCCTATCAAGAAACTCAAGGTGGTGTGCATAACTCTAAGCAGCAGGGAGGCACTCTGAAACTTAGGCAAAATCCTTTGCAGGGAGGTGGGCCTGCCTCTTTGAATCTCAGGCCACATGCTCTCCTTCTGCCACTGGAGTTTCCCTCAGAGACGTCTCTCAGATTCCTGGTGCACTGTCTATTCAGGGTAAAAGGCAAAACTGAGGGGATAGTTGGGACTTCCCAGTAACCCAAAGCACCGGAATTCTGCATGAAAGTGGGACCTGAGGGGCATCCCTCAAAACACAATTTTTGCAGCTCCCACCGTGGCTTATGTGTGAACCCAGTCAGGGAGTGGACTTGAAGGATGCTCCTGAGCATCCTGTTGCATGAACCCAGGCGGAGGAGAGGGTCAGAGGACACCCTGGTAAACTGCACTGGGTTCAAGTTGCCTGCAGGTGCCAGCTGTGCCCAATTTCTGATGAGCAGTGGGGGTCCCATGCTGCTGCTTAGCTATAGAGTTGCTCAGAGCAGCAGCACTGCAGCTGACCAGTGTGGAAGCATCCCCTCCTCACTAAGTGGAAAACGAAAGATGCTTCTCTGTGCAGATGGCAGTGACAGGGAGAAGCGCCCGCAGCCAGCTCTTCCTCTACCTGAGGCAGCAACAGACAAGGGCAGCTAATCTGTCTGGGCCTCTTTCTGAGGAAGCCCAGACGAAGGCCCCCTCTGCACTCTGTCTGCAGGCACAATCACCCATTTAAACATTTTTCCCAGGACAGCCTGGGGCCTCTCCAGCCCCATGACCTCTCTCATGTCTGTCCTCACTTCTAGAATGGCACATGTAGAATCTGACTTGCTCACATGGGTTTGGCCCCCCCCTTTTTTTTTTTTTTGTGAAGAAGAAATAAAGGTGCCTTACTATGTTCTGTTTTTTAACAATTTTGGTGCTTAAGACATTTTTCAGGGTTGCATGCCCTTAAAACTACGTAACATAACTCTGACATAAGATAAATGGTGTAGAGCAGTGGTTTTCAACCACTGTTCCATGGCCCGGTGCCTGTCCATGGGGGTTTCCTGCCGGTCCACGTGGGGGCTGCTTTCCACTCGCTGTGGGCCAGCACGGGGGCTGGCCATGCCCTGCCACCTCTTCCTCGGTTGGCATCATGTTCATGGGGGCTGTGCCAGTGCCACCAGGGTGGGGGCAGGGAAGGCTTGGTGGGAGCTGGCTGGGAGCCACACTACTGGTTTTGTTCTTTTGTGCTTTTGCTTGGTTCCTGGTTGTTTTGAAGGATTTTCATTTTTGTGGTATTGTTTTTGGAAACTAATAGAAAAAATACTGTATTATGTGTACGGTGCTTTTTGTTTCTGTCTCAGAGGTCCCCAAGGTGGTTTTCCTGTTTTTGCCAGTCTCCAGCTGTGAAAAGGTTGAAAACCACTGGTGTAGAGGAGGCATCTTATATTTTTAATAGGGAAATTGCCTGAGAATAATGGCTCAGAAAACTCTCTTTTGCATGCTTGTAGTAGTGCAGAGATATTTGCTTTAGAGCAAATACTCCATAGAATTATAGTAGCATTTGGGGAGGAAAGGTGTATGGGGGAGAATTACTGCCTCATCTTTGCATGGAATGTCTCTTCTGAAACTAATCAGAGTATCCAAAAATCTATCACTTCAGACTGCTGTGAAAGAGAATCTGTTTAGAGTTTCCATCTCATATTTGAAAGTGTCACACACAGCAAACCTTTTAAATGTTTTTGAGAGAATAATATTAACCATCATTGTGTACATCTAGGCTCCCTCTACCCAACCAGCATGCAGATCAATGATGAAGGTCGGCTCGTGGTCTATTTCAGGACAGAGATTCGATTCAGGGGGCAATTTGTAATGTCTCATCCAGGTAAGACCAACATTTTTTTTTTACAGTACACTTCAGCAGTTTGTATTTTTTCTTGGTAACATAGGTTTTGGGTTTTATGTAATCAAAACAAATTTCTAAATGAATGAAAAAATGAAATGTTTCACTGCAGAAGTAATAAGGAAGTAATTAGCTGGGGACAGACTTTGGCTTCTGGAAATGGAGGGGCTTCATGACTAAGTGAACTTCCCTAAGTTTTCTGCACAAATTTGACTATAAATGTCATTAGATTCAGCCAGCATGGCCAGAGGCTATGGGAGTTAACTAAAACATCTGGAGGGAACCAGGTAGGGAGGCTGCAGTAGAGGAAATCCACTGGTTGGAAAAGGGAGATTACTTCTGGGAGATGGAGGGAGATTATTATTCAACCCATCATTCCATGCTGTTCCAGATCTTCAGAGCATGCAAGGCATTGGAGGTAGAAGTGGGAAGTGACAAAAAATACCCAGTGTGGTGTAGTGGTTAAGAGCACTGGACTGGGACTCAGGCAATCTGGGTTCTAGTCACCGCTCAGCCATGGAGCCAACTGAATGATTTGAGTCAATCACAGGCTCTCAAGTCCAATCTCCCTCACAGGGTTGTTGTTCTGGGGATAAGAGATCAGAGAAGAATGATGTAAGCTGCTTTGAGTTTGGTGTAAAGAAAAAAGCATGATATAAATATAATAAACCAATCTTCCTTTTCCCTCTCTTCCCTAGTTTCCATGTGTATGAATGAGGACTGGGCCTTCATGTTCACATGGTGCTGGTTGACACCTATTCATGCTATCTTAACATGTGGCCTTTGCTTTGGCAGGTACTTCTCTGTCATCCATGGTGATGTCTGCTGATCACCCTGATCTCACATTCACACTGAGCCTTTCTCAAAGTGAGCAAACTTTCCACCAGCCCATGCAACAATGGAAATTTGTCTCAGATTTTGCTGTGAGTGCCACTGTGCAGTATTCTGTAGCAGTGTAAAGAATGGTTCACAACTCTTATGACTGTCATTCTTGCAACTCTATGCTTGGTTAAGCTGAGAAATTGTAAGTTGCCCGAGAGCAGCACATCTGCAAGCCTGTTTTGTCAAGACTATTCAGTGTGCTTCATACATGATCAGGCTTTTGAACATTGCTCTTCCTTTTTCAAATGCAGCACAGCATCCACTAAATCCTCCTTATTCAAACCCAAATTAGTATCCACTAAAGTGCACTAACTGTGAAGAAAATTATATCCAGTGTAATGTGCCTACCACTTCTTGATGGGCTCAGAGACCAGAGGGTAACCAGTTTGGTATGGTGGCCACTAAAGATTCATATAAGATAAATTACCTGGCGCTTACTAGCTTAAATTTTTAATCAGTATTTTTAACCACAAAAACTTCCATACAGTCTTTCTGAGGATATGGAAAGGAGTGTATAGCTCTTTGGTGTAAGATATGCACATGGTGGGCATGTTGTGAGTGGAGCCACCTGGAGCTGGGGGTCAGACTAGATGGCCCGGGAGACCCCTTCTGACTCACTCTGTTTCTATGTTCTTTATGTCTTAAGCTGGAATTTATCCTTAGAAAGAATTAAATTGTTTTTCATCCTTTAGGGAATCTGGAATATAGAGTCGGATTGTTGTAAACCTTGGGCAGTACAGAAGTTAAATAAATAAACAAAATATGCTCTGTTTAGAAAATGAACAAATTCATGACTATTACTATTGTGGAAGAATTAAAAGAGCATGTGTTCAAATTAAAACTGGTGATCTGTTTTTAATGCTAGAAGGAAAGCAATGGGAGTTTTAATTAATTAAAATGTAAAATATCTGCTAGCTCTGGATAAAAACAGAAAGGGAAAAAATGCTTCAACTCCTATATCATGAATTTGTCTAATCCAAAGCATGTTTACTTGGAGTGATATCCCATAGAGTCCAGCGAGGATTCAGCATTTAAGAGATGTAGAAAGAAAAGAAGAGGTGTATGTATGCACAGGTTTATCAGCTGCAAAATAGAAACAGCCAGAGTTTGGTGCATAGTTTGCCCAGAAGCATTTGCACTGTTGCATAAAAAGGAGAGAATCCAGGTGCAGATATATTAAAAGGGTAGTATAAAGCACTATTTTGCTGAACCAATATGTCCTGTTGTCTTTTTTTAACAAAGCATTTTTAAAGGGAAAACTGTTCACATATTTTGATGTTGTGCCGCTTTTTCTAGGTACGTGACTATTCTGGTACTTACACTGTGAAACTTATCCCTTGTATTGCCGCACCCAGCCAAGAATATACCCAGCCTGTCATCTGTAGCCCACGGGAGCCAATCACCTTTGATCTAGATATCAGGTTCCAGCAGGTAAAACACTTCAGTATTTTAATGTTTTCAATGAAGAAAGTATTTTGACTGCATTTATCTGGCACATCATGTACACTCCCTTGGTAATTGAACTTAATTACTTACTCATGAACATCATCAGCACCAAGGGCAAGACTAGTTTTACATATTGCATTTTTTCACTGCCTTGGAAGAGCCAGCCATGCATATATTAAAATCCAGTAATTAGAAAACTCTGTGTGTGTGTGGAACACTTGGTCAGTCTAGACAGTTCAATTATCTGTAAAGGAGTGTCAGAGCAGAGAACAGAATCTGAACAGTACTCTGGTTTACACAGAGTACTAGTTGAGTATGAATTGTTGAATTTCACTTGGTTGTTATGTACAAACCTTGTGCTATAGTTCAACTATAGATTGTTAGCCATGAACAATTCAGAATTCCCATCATGAGAATGAAGAATTGTTTTTCTTCCTGGGTCATTTGTGAGTAACAATCACATTAGGGTTTGTGTGTAACAGCAGCCTTCAATTCAGTAACCTGTACACAGCCCCTATTCTGGGTGTTGCTATGCATGAACCAGGTCAATAGCACAAAATATAGGATGGGACTAGATGTGATACTTGAGGCTTCCTCTGAAAATTGCAGTCTTGGGCTGAGTTCTTTCCTTCCTCCCCACTGTCCATACATGATACCTTCCTGTGTTTCCCCACCATCTCTCCATATCATTGCCTATAAGGATTGGGGAAGGCTCTGAACTATAGACGGGAGAAAATTTGACACAATTCTGTTATTTTTGATAGCAGCTTGAAGTCCAGTGCTTCTCATCTCCAACTCTATATCTAGAAAGGAACAATGGCATTTAAAGAAAAAAATGCTAGTTAGTGAAAAGGATTTGCATTTCAGTAATGGATTTAGGAAATTCCATGGGTGTTCATTCTGTGGGACCCTTGTCTGCCTTTGCAAGAAACATGAAAATTGGCACAGTCACCTTGTGGCTTGTGGATTTCAAGCACACATCACTTTGCTGGGAATACAGTAGGGGAATCAGCAGAAATGGAGCAGCTGTACTGACACTCAGGAACAGGGAGAAGAGGGCAACTCCATGGCAGAGCCTTATGTAGTCCAGGTCTCGAGTCCAGCCCCTAATATTTCCAGGTAAAGGCACTGGGAAAGCAAGGGATGAAAAATGCAGTTCTGAATGATTCCTAGGCACAGTGACTGTAGAATGTCCCAGCAGCAGGCGGAATGCCTCTGAGTAGCAGCTGCTGGGCAACATGTGGGAGAGTTATTACTTACTTCCATGTCTGGCTTGTGGGTTTCCAACAGGCAGCTGTGAGAGCAGAATGGGTGAATGGTCTGATCCAGCACAGCTTTTCTTATCTTCCTAAGAAATGCTGTTTGACACCTCCGGAAGTTGCTGCTGCTCTTCCAGGACTGCAGTTCCTTACTATGAACAATCAGTCTTTCTGATTAAAATGTATCTTCCAGTAAGCCAGTTGATAGCTTTGGCTTATTTGCATAGACTCTGCTCTTGCCTGAAGAGACAGTTCTGTTGAATAGCTGTTACAATTGCATTATATTTCTACCCTGCCTTTCGTCCTCTTGCAATGAACTAATGGTAGCTTACAGGGTTATCCTCCTCTTTATTTTATACATACAAAAACCCTGTTGGGCTGAGAGTCATTGACAGGCCCAAAGTCACCCAGTGAACTTTATTTATTAGATGTACTGTATATCATGCCTTACTCTTCTTTAAAAAGAACTGAAAGTGGCTTACATCATACTCATCCTTCTGCTCTCAATCTTGTCCCCACAATAAGCCTATGAGGTAGGCTGGGCTGAGAGTCTGTGGCTGGCCCAAAGTCATCCAGTTGGTTCCATGGCATAGCTGAATGGCGGCTAGAACCACGATCCCCCACGTTCCAGCCCAATGCTCAAAGCAGCATCCCTCATTGAATAGTGATGGTCGACTTCCATGTCCCTATATTGCGTGTGGAGTGATTCACAGGACAGCTACCAAATGCCCAAGTGGCATTCTTTGGGCAGCACTCTTTGCTTTTGATTTTATCTGAAGGGGCCACGGCATGCCAAATGAAGATAAGAAAGAGCAAAAATTTAGAAAACTATTACTGGATTTCCAAAAATGAAATGAAATTCAGAAGTGATTTTTTTTCTTCTGCACAGGTCAGTGATCCTGTAGCAGCAGAATTTAATTTGAACACCCGCATGTTTCTGCTGTCCAGGAAAGACCTGTGGCTGTCTGATGGCTCCATGGAATTTGGAGAAGGAACTGATGTTGCATTCATAGAAGGTAAAGAGAGCTTCACTCTCTATATATTGCATGTAGCTATATCTTTACTGCCAGTGATGACTAAGTAGTCATTCTCTCATCACAAATGATTCCAAGCTTAGCATGGGGTAAATTATCTTCTGAACAATTCCAGAATTAGTAGGGGGAAAAACACGACCACCTGCCACATGCAACAATCACTCCTGAATTCACTGTGTAAATTGCTTGGTTACAATGAAGGTCTCAGTTGCCAATTCTTTGGTACATGCCAGTCATATCAGGACAGAATAATTCCAGCTAGGAATTGAATAATTCCTGAATTCAATAGGTTTCAAGTTCTAAAATAAGAATTCAGGGCTTGATCTGTCTCATGTGGCTGCCATCACAACAAGGGACATGTGCTTATATTGCAGAAGCATCTCCTGTTATGCTGGTTCGGGCCCAAGTGTCACCTTGCATGCACCTGTACGGAATGAGGGCCTGTTCCCACTGCCGCCTTAAATATAGAACAAACGGAGTAGAGGAAAGAGTGGAGAGGAAATGGGGTTTAGTGCAGCAGGCTGGAAGGCAATGACCTGCTCCAGCGACGCTACAGTCATTCCAAGGCATCCATCTTGATTTTACTATGCTACCCCTCCCACAGGACCTCTTGCAGAAGAGGTGCCAGCCTAACAGGTACATTGTCACATTAAAAGTGGCAAGAAAGCAAATAGTATTTAGGGAAAAATGTCTTACTAAAATGTTCGTTTTTTAAAATTGTGGACAGAATTCAGGGATTTTTCAAAGCCGATTTAAATGGTCCTTTTTGTATTTGAGCCAGCGATCCTATAACAGCAAAACTTAATTTAAATACTGATTCTTGAGTTTAAAGCTATTAATGGATTTCAGGAAAAAGAAATGATTTTTTTCCTTCTACGCAGGCCAGCAATCCTATAACAGCAGAATTTAATTTAAATACCAATTTTTGAGTTTAAAAGTGCATTCAGTGAATTGTCACTGCTGATTGAAACTTGGATTAGAAAGTTGAATTCACAGTATTTATGAATTTCTTACTCGTATCTTCAGTCGGAAAACAAATCATCTGTTAGGCCAGTACTTACTATTGCCAGTGCAACATCAAATTAAACCCCACTGACTCCTATCACTGAATTTGGGCTGCCCCCTAGTGAAGGAGAATAGCACAGCACTCACCAGCTCCTAAATGCAGTTGTTTCTCTTAAGTGCAAGGAGAAGGTTAAATGAGAAACACTGCATTTATTTACATTTATTTAGATATGCTGGAACAACAGGAATTTTATCATTAGCCTATACCATACTTGGAACTCTCATTTCAAACTGTTAGGGTTTGCTTTGTGTATACTTTGCTAAAGAGATAACTATTGGTCTACATTATACAAGTTGAGCATATTTGTTTTAATTTTTATAATTGATTCTTCTTGTCATGAAGAGGAAAAGTAGCTTGAAGCACCACTCCACTTTGATTTCTGACATTTTAATAGGCATCATTTGCATACTTTCAAGCACATCTTTATAGGCATATGGGCTAAATATATTTTTAAAACAACCATTTTTCATAATGTTAATTTTTGTACCACAAATCAAATTCTGTGTTTGGGCAATATTTGTGGGGAATCATTCCTTACATTACATTACATTACATTACACCTTTTTCCTGCAAAGAACACAAGGTGGTTTACAGAATTTCTATTTTAGCCTTCCAAAATTTCTATGTGGTAGGTAAGGCTGTGAATCAGTGACAGGCTCAAAGTCATCCAGGGTACTTGCCATCCAAGTGGTGACTTAAACCCAGGTCTTTGGTCCAGGAGGGTGGAGGCCAGGGAGTGAAGAGTGAAAAGAATGTCTTGAAATTTCTCAGCACTGAGAACAAATAATTAACATTGAAATTGAAAATGTCAATATCCAAATGTATGTTCCTGTTTTGTTAGGGGAACTCTGACATAGGCAGCAAGCACTGGGGAGGCAGTGCTGCTGTGGCCTATAGGAATTCCATCTCCCTTTCCAAGCTCCCTGCTTGTCACAAGAAACAAGGAGATTGCTGTCGATGGACAAGCTACTCTGCTGCTTAGCAGTTTCCATGCTTGAGCTGGAGGTTCTGCAGAACCTCAGCAACTTTGTTGGAAGCAGTTCGGAGCTTTATGACTGCTGTGACAACCATAGGCTGTCTTAATTTGCTGCTGGACATTCTTGAGCTAGAAAAGACCACTCAGGATTTGTGGGACTTCTTGGTAACTCCTTTGCTACTGTCAGACTACAAGGTGAGACTAGGGTTGCGGCAGGTCTTCTCCTCTAAAAGGTGGACCTGTTAGAATGGCCTGCTTCTGAAGGCTGATGGACTCCAGCAGAGTCTTACATGCCCCTGTGGAGTTCAAGCAGTTGTTTGTTTGTTGTTGTTGTTTCAATTCTGTACTGCCCCATAGCCAAACCTCTCTGAGTGGTTTGCAAAAATGTAGAGGTGGCCACATGTGCAACAATGTGGAGACAGCTACTATTCCTGAAGGAGGCTGGTTGATTCCCTGATTCAGATAGCTTGGTACGGAGCATGTTTTATCAGCTGATGCTGACATGCCATCTGCGACCTGACCTGGACAGAAAAGTCTTAGCTCAGTGATCCTGATGTAGCAGCTTCTAGACTGGAGGCTTGCAATAAACTCTAAGAAGGGCTGCCTTTGAAGACAGTTGGAAACCTGCCACTATCCCATAATACTGTAGCTAGACAGCTGATAGGACCTGAGCAAAAAAACCATATTCATTCTGATACAAGCTTAGTGTCCCCTCCTAGTATGTTTGTGAGCTCATGCTACTTTTTGATATTTAAAGCTCTACACTCCCAGGGCCCAGATAGTTGTCAGACTACCTTCTCCTGTAGTTCTCAGCCCATTCATTGAAATCAACAACTAAGCTACCCCACACCACACACACACCTTAGATACACACCTTAACATGGTGAGGGAGTTTGAGAGTGTCAGAGAAGCCGTTTGCAATGCAACTAGGAGGCCAGACTCTCACTGGTCTGGTCTTCTAGCAGAGTTATCTAAGGGAATACAGTCAAAGCTGACACACCAGGCTAAGATGTATCCACTCTCTTAAGGAGTAATGGTCATTTCAGAAGAAGAGAATTTATAGATGTAATGGTGAGGTAGGTGGATAAATGCCTGAAGGGAAGCAACAGTACTGGCAGAGAATCTTTCACAGAGAATGGCAGTCATACTCCAGCCAGCTCTGGTTATTACTGTGCAGAAGGAGGCAATGCTAAATCACTTCTGAATATTTCTTGCCTTGTAAACCCTTTGATGAAACAATCCAAACTGAAACAAGAAAGAGAATATGGGACTCCCAAGTCAGAAGGCACTCAGTCAGCTAATGGGCAAGAGGAAAGGACAAGTATAAATAGTACTGTCACTAATGATGCAACTAGATCAAAGCCAAAAGGAAGTCTAGTGGCTGACAAGCACAGAGGTGAAAGGAGTCTGACGCTGCACAACACATATAAGGGAACATGGAATGTGTGACATATGAATCAGGGCAAACTGAAAACCATAAAGCAAGAAAGGACAGTACTTGGTGTGAGCAGATTAAAGTGGACTGGAATGGGATGTTTGCAGTCAGACAAAGTATTTTACCTCAGAAATGACAAACTCAGAAGAAATGGTGTGGCTCTAATACTGAGGCAAGATGGAGCACAGATCAGGACCAACCAAACAGTATCAATCAGAATTCTTAGAAAAACTAGAAGCATAACCATCTTTCAAGTCTGTGTTCCAGCAACAGATGCTGAAGAAGAAACAGAAAACATTTAGGCAATCATCTTACATAACATTGCTCAGAAATTTAAAATCCATGTAGAGAACAGATTTACATTTTTGTACTCAATTGACAGTGTCATGATGGATCCTGTTTAGAATTCAGGGGAGTCTTTTTACAGTTTTACTTACTTTGCTTGTTTTCATGTTGTTACATTTGTTAAGCACATGGGGAATGTGATTGCATTTGAGGACATCACCAGAATTCAGTGACAGGACACCTGCTTTGTAAGCAGAAGATACCAAGTTCAGTCCCAGCATCTCCAGGCAGGGCCGGGCGAGAAACCTGGAGAGCTGCTGCTGCTAGTCACTGTCAGCAGTACTGGGGTAGATAGGTCCTAAGGTGCAGAATAGAGATGGTTTAAATAAACAATAGTGTGCTTATTTTCCAGGCTCCGAAATTTATGGCCGGATCATGGTGGATCCTGTTCAGAATTTAGGGGAGTCCTTCCTCTGTAACATTGAAAAGGTGTTTTTATGCACTGGGTCTGATGGGTATGTCCCCAAGTACAATCCGGATAACAAAGAATATGGTTGCCTAGCTGATTCTCCTTCCTTGCTGTACAGATTCAAGATTTTGGTATGTACCATAAAATACAGTTCTGATAAAAATATAAAATTTAAAATCCAGAATGTAGTAATATACCAGTGCTCGATGACTGTTCTCTAGGATAAAGCTCAACCAGATACGCAGACAACAGTGTTTGGAAATTTGGCTTTCCATGCCAAGCTAGCAGCAGATCACGTTGATGGTTACCCTTTGGTAAAGCAGCCTGGTTCTGATGGATTCAGCCTGTTGTCAACTCCACTATTCCAGGTAAATTTTGAGTTTCAAAACTGGCTTGTTTGCAAGCTTGCTTTGTTTCTAAAAAGGTATTTTTTAAACTTCTGCCTACTGTCCTCAAAAGACCAGCCCAGTTTTAAAATCAAGACTATCATGAAATTCAGATTGAAATGTTCCTTTCCTCTTACATTTTTAAGTGTTTAGTTCTGTGCAGTTCCTTTTTCATCCATTCTGCTGTTTGATAATTCAGTATGGCAGCACTATTGTCTATTGTCCATATTGTTTTGGGAAATCCAAATTATCCTTGGGAAATAGTCATATTTGAAACCTTGACTCCCAGAGATACTGCGACTCACACAGGAATTTGTTTAGTGGTTTCTTGTGTTTTTCATCTAACAGGTCGCAGCAGGTCGAGAGTGGTACATCCATGCTATTTACATGGTTCGTTCACGTGAGAATGCCCACAGGGGCCTAGGAAAGAGGAGTCTTGAGTACTACCAAGTTTTATCTTCATTAAATGGAATCCCTAATGCTACCCATTTGGAGCGTACTCGGAGAGCTATCACAGATACTCCAGCTCTTGCACAAGATATTGGTGCAGATAAGAATAGAGGTACCAACATTCAGCATATAGCTCTTGACCGGTCTAACAAAATTATTATCAAGCAAAAAGATCGCTCTGTAGCTGGTAAACCTTATGAGAAGCCAAGTTTGGAAATAACTGGAAGTGATGTGGAAGAAAGGATTGTACCCATTGTTGGAGGTGCAGCAGGGCTGCTGCTTCTGATCTGTACTGTTTTGATTGTTGCCTTCCTTCTGAAGCGGAAAGGACATTCTGCTGGTGGGAAAACAAAGTCATGCATCAACTATTCCAACACTAAGGAAACTGTCACCACACAGCACAGCAGCAGCGACAGCTCTGAAGTCTAAATGCATTACAGAGGTGAGGGTTATCCTTTGAAGATTGTTCATTTCGTCAATGTAAACCGCAGTATTTGGTGGCTGTTTTCATGCAGACTTGGAACTGGCCACTGCAGTTTTAATGCTAGGTTGTTTCTGATTCCAGCATATGAAAAGTGTGGCAAATAAGATGAAGTGTATAGAAGTATGAGTGACTTATTTATAACTTTTCCTATCCCTAGAACACAGGATAAACTCCCAGAATAGAATGCTCATTAAACCTAGCATTTTTTCCAAATGGTGCTCAAATATTAGCAGCTATAAATGTGCCTTATCTACAATCATGAAAGCCTGGTGCTCTTCAAAGGGATATTGATTTCCTTCTCGTTCAACTTGTACAGTGTTTAGAGTTATATACCCTTCTTTTACATAGAAAGGTGGGGGTGGGATTGAGAAGGGTTCAGATTTTAACTAGATTGAGTAGAGGTAAAGTATCTGTAATTAAATCTCCAAGTAGAATTGTTCTGTCTGTGTGGATGAGAGAAATACTGCATTGGAAAAAAACTATGCTTATTTAAAAATGGTATTTCTTGAGCGTTTTAATCTACAGGTATTATAAATATACCTTAATATGAGATCCTAAAGCTGAGGTGTATTTAATACTGTATTGTGCCTTTCACGATAAACCTAAGTCATTATTATAAGATGGCCCTTCCTTTTGTCTGCCTCAAGTTTGTGAAGTGTCAGTTACTGCTATTCCAGATTGGTTAAAGGAGCTTGACAAATATTCTTAAGATACTGTGCATAATTTAAGACATTAACTTCCTGTGATTTCTTTCCTGGTCCATTGACCATTCAGTTAGTACAAAACAATTGTTGTCTAGCAGCAACCATATTCAAGTTCAAGATCTATATCCATATTCAAGATCTATGCTAATCAAGCTGTTTCGCTGATGTAGCTGTTTATACAGAAAAAAAAAATACAGAACATTTGTTTTACATGCAGTTTTTGTAATTTCCCATCTCTTACTGTTTCTACCTAGCAGTCTAAAATATGTTTTGGATTATAACAAAATTATTTCTTCTCACAGAAATATCAAATTAACTGTTTTAGCAGAATTGTATGCAGTTTACTCAGTCTCTGATTTCAGTGGGACTTACTTCTTAGTATGGCAGCTTAGTCATTAACTGGTTATAGAATAAGCTTTGGAAAACCTTTTGACCATCAGATACAGGTATCCCTGATTGGACAATGCAAAGTTTTTGTATGTTAAAGTTTTTTAATAGAATTGCCAGGCATAATCTTAGAAAAATCATTTCCCTCCTCTGACATGAGAAAACACCTTTATATTATCACAGAGATACCAAACTACTATCTATATGAATTAAAATTCAGGCAATTTGACAAATTCAACTTGATTTTTAATTTAATCAACTGAAAGCCCTGATTAATGTTCATAGTTACTGCTGGATTTAAAAATCTGTGTGTGGCAATGAAAAGGGACAGTTGCTTAGTCCTGTCAATTAAAAAAATCTACCTGCTGCTAGCCAGAAAGAGGGACACTCACTATGGCGGACTACTAGCTAGTCCCTGAAGTTGCAAGCCCACAACTATTTTACTGTGGGAACTATACTCACATTTTAGTAATTTGTAAGTATATTATTTATCTACAAAACTGCGGCAAGCCTTCTGTTAGCAACAAGCAGAGAAGGGGCAGTAGGTGTTGAGGACTGGCTTACTTTTGTTCTGTACTCCTAGACAGAATATCCCTTGTCGAATATTACATATACATAAGTCTGCAGCTGCTTTTACTTACAAGGGTGTGGTGTTGCTACCAGGTTAAGGCTGCAATTCTGTATCAACTCACCTGGGAGTAAGCCCCATGCAACTCAGCAAGACTTTCTTTCAAGTAAATGTGCATGATGTGCATTTTAAAGAAAAGTTCTGCCCAGACTAGGATACTCCTACTCCCATAGTGCCATAGAACACGAGGCCTTTTAATCCAGTGAGCTTTACCAACCAAGTTCATGTATTAGTAATCTTTTTGTAGTAGCTGAAGACATAAAAGGGTCTAAATACAAGCATTCCTTTATTACCTCTCCTAATGTGTGATCCTTTCCTTGTTAAAGAGCTGTTTCCTGCAGTTTATGGAATGCGAGGTGCCGTAAAACATACTTTATACATTGCTGTATATTTCTGCAATAGGCTAATGTCATTTGTTTCACAATACAAGCAAAGGAAGTTGAAAGCACAAGTTGAGCACTGAAATGTTATCTTTGAAATGTACTGTACTATACTGATCATGTTCTATGATAATTGTGACCTTGTAGTTTGTGATATTGCCAAAACATGTTGAGAGTTATTTTATAAAACTGTTCTCTTTCATACTTATCTGCACTTTTTCATTAGATTCCAGACACCATGTTTTAGGGATGAATAGTAACCTTGTCACTACAAGCCAAAAGTAAGAGTGTATATTTTTACTTGCATATTGTCAAATGTGGACAAATTAAAGTTGAGATACCTGTCTATAAATGGTGATTAAGTAACCCATGACGCATATAACTGTTACTGAGGAAAAAGCTTAAACAAAATTTAGCACTCATTACTAGATCATGGGGATCCTGCCTTTGAGATGATTTTATGCTGGCTTGGTTTCTTTGACATATTTTTATGGCCAATATAGTTTAACAAGTAGTGCCAGTAAACCTGGAGTCTGCGCTGTCTGTGCCACAATCCACAATAGTAACCATGTTATGGATGCTAAGCATTTGGTAGAGGATTATTTCCCAACAGGAAAAGTGTGAAGTAGGCAAGTGTGCTTCACTGGAGCAGAATTGAGTGGCCAAGAATGCTTATCACAAAATGTGAAATGCATTAGCAGCAAGAGTCAGTGACTACGTTGGGCTATATTAAACACAGTTGTTCTGTGAATGAGGCACAGGCTTATGCAGTCTAACACCCATTCTAAGTAAAAAGCGTTCTAAGCAAAAAGCACCCTTTTGCTTAGAACGCTTCAGCATTTCATCAAGTTGGAGTGAAAATGGTTTAATAAAGTGAGTAAGGCTCATGAAGTAAGGTCAAAACTGCAGTTTTCCAATGTTGCTAAATGTCATTAGTTTAAAAGGGATGCAGATTTTTCTAAACTGACAGCTAAACCAGAGATAGGAACAGTGAGCATGCCCAGGTTCATTCATAATGATAAATCAGAGATTATTTTATGTCCCTATACAACCAAGGTATATAATCCCAAAGAACTAAGCCTGCTTCTGAGTGTGGTTATAAAAGAAGCAGATATCAATCCTTGTACTGTTTCCACTGTAGAGCCATCAATTTTCTACAATACATATGCAACTTTACAGTTCAGACCACTGTATAAAACTGCCCAAAGATAAACTTTGTGACTACTATTGAAGTAATAGCATAAACAAATCTTGAGATTCAGCCTATTCTTGAGATCACTCAAAGAAAGAATGGGACAACACATTAAAAAAACAGAAACTAGTACATGAAGCCTATTTTTTATTTCAAGTGTTAATGGTAAAAAAAAGTTCAGCACAGCTGTTTTATTTAAAAAAGTGAAGCTACATTACTATTCTTCTAGTTCAGTAAGTAAACGCATGAACCCAATGTCCTTTAATGACATAGTTGAGCATTATACAGTACATCTTATGAAGACCCGTAAAATTAAAGAACTACTTTAAATTTAGCGATTACAAGTATTCAGTATTCACAGCTTTAATTTCTTTTTCCGTCCTCTACCATCGGGCGTGCCATCCAACTTACGTTTCTGTGCCTGCGGGTGGAAGGGGGAGAGAGCGAGAGAAGTTGAGCCTTAGTCCTGTAAACCAGATGGCTGTGATCACAGATGTACACAGAAATAAAACCACGACTTGAACAGCAATGTAGAATAGTGTTTTTGAATTTAAAATGCATTTCAAATATATTTTAAAGCAAGTTATGCTTTCTGTTCATAAGTCTACTGGACTAGTATGAACACTCACTAAGAAAGCCTCTAAATAATGCCAGTGTAGGTATGATTAAAGTAGCAACAGTACACCTAATCAGTTGAGGTGGTGGCTAGTGTTGGAAGAACATGGCTGCTGAACACTACACAGCAAGAGTTATTTTTGGAAACATTCCAGTAGTGGTGATAGAAGCAAGCTATGCATTAGGCCTTTCAAATTACTGATAATAGTGTACTTAGATACAGAAGAGCATTTTTTTCCAAATTATTGCAGAGATTGACACATTATCTTCACATAAAGCATTTAAAAACACATTAAAGCTCTTAAGTGATCTCACCAAAGATGGCTTTGGTCCACGCTTCTTCTTCTCTGCCTTCTCCTTTTCTTCCAATTCCATATTTTCTCTTTCAATCAAGGTAATTAAGGTATTACATCTTCTTTGCAGCTCCTGAATATCGAAGTAGTAGTTCATGTGGACACCATACAAACTGAATCTTAATCAACTATTTCCTATATCTCCCTCCTCCACTATGCAATTAAGACTGGACAGTCAAGTAAGCACTCCAGGGGCTGGAGGAGCAGATTCATTGTAACTTTTCTATGGAAATTAAACATACAGGTACCTGCATACACTTAAAAAAAACCCAAGCAAAACCCGGTAGCAGTCTAAACCAGGCAATATTGTGAGTACATTACATTTCTATACCAGTTGAAGCTCTCTGGGTGGTTCACAACATTTTAAGTCACCATTCCAGATTTCAGCCAGGCCTGACCCTGCTTTGCTTCCAAGGTTAATCAGGATCAGGCACTTCAAGAGGGCATGGATACACAGCACTTCATTACAGCTTTTAATTAAAATTTACACATATGAAGCCTGGACTGGTAGCATGCTTTGAAAGGTAAGATGTAAATTAAAGGGCAAAGCCATTATGTCACCTTTCAAAATTGGAAGTTTCTTACTGTGAATTCTGGTTTTCAGTGTCTTCTGGTGGGCATTCCACATTAGATTAGCCTTGTCTAGATGTGGAATGCCCTCCAAGATATATAGGAGAACTTTTAATTTCATTGGAATATACTCTTTATTGACATCTACATCACAGCATGTGATGAAAGAGTGTGAAAGGCCCTCACAGTGGTCTTACCCCAGAAGAGACAAATAAGCACAAAGGATAGGGCAATAGCCTGCCTGCAGCAGTTCATTGGTTTTAGTTTTATACTGTACACCATCCAGAGAACTATATAGTTTAAAAGTACAGTGAACAAGTAAAATACGGTTGCCACTCCTGGAGACACTCCAGAGGGGAAAAAAAGACAACACCATATAGTTCCACAAGAGCATGTAGTTGCTTTGCTGTTTGATACTGAGCCCTTAGATTCTGAATAAGTTCTATCAGAGGGTATTCCACAAACTCTTGGTATGCTGCAAAAGTCCTGTGAACCAAATTGGCACAGAATTCCATAAAGGCCTTGCTTACGGGTATGCATTTGGCAACTGGAAAATACTCTTAAACTGGAAGAGAGTTTTGAAATGTTAATGCCAATGTTCTTCTTAAAACCCTGTTTGACTTTTTTTAAAGCAGAGCTAAAACTTTAGGTGCAATTTAAGACTTATGTTTGGTTTATACATAAACTAACTCCATGTAATGGGTTGTTGAATTCTGAGTTGTCATGATGTGGGAATACACCCACAGTAACGAACCATGGTTTGTAAAACTATGAACAACCGAGAAGGAGAACCCATGGTTTGTTCTTTGGTTGTGAACTTATTATTTAAAACATGGATTGTGAACCTAGAGCCACTACTCCTAAGTTGTTTCAGCAGGCTGCTGTGGCAGCAGATAAGAGTGATTTTTTAAAATATTTTGACAAGCCTGTTGTAGAGAGCTGCAAAAATATTTTGGATACTGAGAAGAAAGAGTGCAGCAGGAGTGAAAAAACCCAGAGATTAAGAAAACAAATCACAGTTTATTATTATGTGCAAACCAGGCCATACTTTTCTGACTTTCCTAAGAATTATAACACTCTTTAAAAACAAAGATATAAATTTTAAAATATACATACCATTGCAGTTCTAGACTTGAGGAACCAGTCAAATCTGAATTGTGGTGAGTTGCGGATACACTGTCTTAACTCATCATAAACATTTTCTTTATCAAATCCTAGCTTGTGAAGCATACAGATCAAAAACCTATCTTCCTCTTCTGTATAATTCTTTCCTTTGTTAGTACCATATGATATTCTCAATTGGTGAAAAGGTGCTTTGTATCTGCCAATCTAAGCAAATCAAGCATTTAACACAGAGAAGTGACTGGACACAGAATAGTTCACTGCACCCTCAAAAACCCGAAGCATAGTAAAAATCACTGAAGATCCTATTGACCTATGCCTTAATATATAGCTATACATATCTAGCAATATAAATAGCTTCTTATTTATAGAAAACCAAAGAATTAAAATGATGCTTTTGAACAGGGTAAATTTTCTTTTCTACAGAGAAACATGAAAATTATTAAACTACTATCAATGATGAAAAATCACATTGCATCTGAAAGAGGTTTAGCATCTTAAACCATGACTTTCGATATTCTGAATTATGTGACATTAAACTCTGAAATATGGAAAACAAGGAAAACTTAAGACAATCTCTAAATGAAATATAAACAGTACCATTCTAACATACATTAGCAGTATTCTTGAAATGATTCAGGGCTAACTAAAAATGTGGACTTACTTTTGTGTCAAGTGCTTTTTTAATACTAATCCTTCTCTGAATCCGAGCTTCACCTCTTTCAATCTGTGCCATGATCTTTTCTATATCCTGGAGTTCATTACATCGCTCCCAGAAAACAGCTGAAGAGAAACATTTTTAAGTTGGTATCATACATTTGCAAACATCTGCATTTAACAGTTTATTAGCAACCTGTTAATATTCTTGATCAAGATGCCTGATGGTAAAAACTGCTTAGGAAGGTATCAAGTCTGAAGTCATTAACTTTAGATGTTACCATACAGTACTTCTGTTTTAGCAACATTCGGACCAGACAACACTATGGGGGATCTAGGTCTGAAATGACTAAAAGGCAAGAGCTATGGTTAATGCCCAGATTTATATTTTTCTTCACTCTTAAGCAGTAAACGATGTTGCTTTCAACAAAATTACTGACACACCTAAATAATTATCCTAAAATTCATCCGCAAGTAGAAAAAAGGACCACCATCTAAGACTACCTTCTCAACAAGTGTTTTCTTTTTTTTAAAAAAAGTATTAACTATATTATTAAAATTGCCATACCCTCCTAAACTCATTTATCTAGGAAAAAAATCTCATTGTACTCAATGGGCTGGAGCAACGCTTACATGGATTGGACATGTGTGATTTTTGTCAGCTCACCTTTCTCCTCTTCCTCCTGTCAGCCCAGCTATCAAAGGTGCTAGAGGGGTTCAGGAGACTCTGCTGAATGGTGCACACAGTGACTAAGAAAGAGGAGGTTCCTCCAAAATTCAGGAACTTCCCCTCAGCTTTCTCTAGGTCATAGGGCACCATATTCAGAAGGCTCTCCAGGGCTCAGTATTACCAGGGGCTCGGGGGGCAGTGGGACACTGGGGGTAGAGGAAATAGTGTGCTTCTTTATACATTTTCAGGGGGCTGCTATCTACAACCAAGTCTGCTTCTGCCAGCTCTATTATGCAAGTAACTCTGAATTCAACCCAGTGAGTTTTACTTCTGAATAGACATGCATAGCACTGTGACTTTAACAAAGCTATAATGAGAACTTCTCAAAAGAAAAATAACATTACCAGAATATTCAATGACCTCTTCTGGAGTTTTTCCTTCTACTTCCCGAGCTATATTTTCAATATCATCACGACCCCATTTTTCATTTGCTTTGATGAACTGATTGAAGTCTCTCTTATTCCAGTTTGTAAATCCCTTAAAAAGTTAGTAAAGAGAAAGATATGTAAAAAGGCATAGTTTACTGAGTTTGACTATTGCCTTGATATATTTTGCACTGACAAATTAAAACATTTTTAAATGAACCAGCTTGGGTTCTATGTCATAATTTTGTATATTATCCTTCAATGTGAAATACTTTCATTGTAGCTTACAGCAAGCTGATAAACTAACAACAAATTAAAACAAATAAGCCAGCAGGATAAAATGTACATTTCTTATCTATGAGTTTTTTTTTCCTCAGTAGTATGTAAGAAAGAAAGAAAAAGAATAATTTTAGCCAGAAATTGCCCTAGAATGCTGACCATACCTGAGTAAGTAACTTTTCCTTTTCTTCTAACTCTTCCTCATTAAGGGGATCAGCTTCATCAATTTTGATTTGCTCTTCCTTCTGTGCCTGAGTTGCATTTGGAAGATCAGGATTACGAGGAACCTAAGAA